TCTAAAACCTAAAAGGAATTACTATAAAAAGTGACAAATTACAATCACAACATTCGATTGAAAATGTAAAGACAGATACAATTCTTAATTTAACATTTTTCTAAATTTTAGAATTTACAGTATTCTGAATAAAAGTGAGTGACATTTGAGATTACTTATCATAACAAAGCAAAAGGTTATGTGTAATAAGATTCAATGAAAAGAAAAAAGTATTTTCTCTGGTCCCTGATTGATGTTAAAATAAAGACATGATGGGAAGTTATGAGATCCCGCATTAAATCCCATTGTGCCATATTGCCGGTGCAGAAGTTCCCCTGAACCATCAATCGGCAAGGTAGGTAATTAAGCATACACATCCTGGATTTAAAAAAATATATTAAATCAAACGGCAAGTTGTTTTACTTAACAACAACGTACAGCATTATCCTAAAATACCTTATTGCATGTCACATAGGGGTGTAGGTTGTACACAGGGGTGTAATTTTTTCCATCTAATTAAGTTGGTTTTAATAAAAGATTCACCCAAAGAACCTTGTCTGTGTGTGTCACATAGAGCCCCTCTACATGTGCAGGTAAGGTTGCAAAAAGATCTGAGGTATAATTCACACAATTATGCCTCCTGCCATGCTACATGTGCATGGCAGGAGGCATGATTGTGTGGATCATGTGCATGGCAGGAAGTGCAATTGTAGAATTGCGCATTAGATCCCATCATACCTTATCACCGGTGCAGGGGGAGCATGGGTTTGTGATACCAGGCTCGCTCTGCACCAGCTTCCTTGGTTGTGAGCCCCACAGCTGATGGGGCTCACAGTGGGGGCAGCGTTCCTCACATTGTCCCTGCTGCAAGCTCCGCAGCCAACATGGGCTGCAGGACTCATGGCAGGGGCAATACTAGGAATTCTTCCACCACAGAAAACCTCATCGGCTGCAGGACTTGCAGTGGGGGTTGTGGAGCTCGCAAGAGAGTCAGTGAGGAGAACTCTGCCACTGCTGTGAGCCTTGTGATGTGCACAGCTCGCAGTAGTGGCAGCATTCTCCTTGCTGCCCCCTCTGCGAGCCCTGCAGCCAAGGAGGTTTCCAGCAGTGGGAGTATTCCCATTGTTGCCCCTCCTGCAAGCCCCACAGCTGACAAGGCTCACAGTGGGGGCAGCACCAGGAACACCACTTCCACTGCAAGCCTTGTCAGCTGCAGAGCTGCCAGCGGGTAGTACGCCCCTGTGACTAGAAGTCCCTTAGCCGATAGGGCTCCCAGCCACAAGAGAGCACTTAGCCACACATTCAATTAATTGTGTGATTAGAACAAGCTACAAAGTTAGAACACATTTTTTGTGAAATAACTTTGTAGCTTTTCTTTTATCATGCCACTAATTGGTTGAATGTGTAGGTGGGTCACAACTTTAGGCACAATTAACTGGTTAATCATGCGTAAAGTACAACATGTAGAGGGATATTACAGGGAGGTTCAGAGCAAATGAAAAAAGTGTGATGTAAGTTGCACTTCTTGACTTTAACCTAAACAGCCAGAATTAATGCATGCAGTGTGCCTACACTGTCTATGTGGGGGCCAACTTGAAAGAGGATGATCATGGTGTTTGTCAGTTTACCTGTGAAATTTGAATTTGTTCAACTATTCACAAGAGTTAAAATATATTGCAGAATAAATATTTCCCTAGCAAAATGTTATATTTTTTAGGGTTAGGGCATTATGTAATAGAAGGTGCTGGAAACATTCTCCTAGCCTGCACCTTTCACAGTTCTTTAAAACTGTGCAAAGTATGTCCAAGACTAATAAGAAATTCTGAATGAAGAATTCTGATTTGAAAAAAAAAATTACGCTCATGGTTTTAGTACCGAAGACTACGGCTTTTCATGAGAACTAAGTGGGGTGCGTATGTGCATGCATGCACTATATAGAATTGGCGATTTATCTACAGTAACAAAATATGTTGTTATCATTTCATTTCATTATTCTTTCCAATGTCAGGTATTGGGAAAAGATAACATTTGCTCATACTTTTAACATGCACCAAAACTCTTACCAACAACATGCATTTCTGTTACTGCTACCCACACCCTCTTCAGAATCTTGTTCAAAGATTAAGGCTTTTAATATACACTAATCTAAATAGATCTCAAACAACAACTGTGTATCCATGATACAGCCCTGCAGCCATCCCTTTCCATGTCAAGCAACACTTTATTATGCTCTAACTATAGAGAGTGACCTATTAACTTCCACAATATTTAAAAAAATGAATTTTATCTACTTGACTGGATAATTCCTAAATAGATATATATCAGTAAACATGCTGTACACATGCCATATGAAATCTGTAGACAGTGGACACACACAGTTTCCCAATAATTATTATATTCTGGTCACTAAACATCATTGTGCTCCTGAACCATATCATCTTATCCTGTTCCAAAGGTAAGAACCCTTAATATATTAGTTAAAGAATGTCCATTAATTTTAGCAAAGTTGAGCAGTTTGGTTTCCATGCAGCGAAGGGTACTGCATTACATACAATTTTATTTATAAGTTATCTACTTAGCTTGTGTGGTTATGTACTCAAGTTATCTGTAGTCCCACAATACTGCAAAACAGAGACATTCTGAACAGTGGTAAATAGGTTATGTTCAGAACTCATGAAAAACTGAACTCCCTTATTTTTATCATCAGATAGTGAAAGGTACCAAAATTATATTTGTTGCACAAAATAGGGCAAGGAAAAATAAACCTTGACTTAATGATAATCCTTGTTATCTATAAAGGAAGTTTGTTTATATATATGAGGTACTTTTTTAAATAATGCTTTTACAAGCATGACTCTTTGTGGGCTTGACAGTCAAAGAGAAGCAGAACAAAGTAGTCACTATAAAACCTTTTTGGAAACTATACAGTCTACAAGTTTCTGAAATATAAAGGTCCATTTATGAGGGGTCAGTTTGTGTTGTTTTTCATAGCTGAGAATTAACTGTGTCTCCAGCAGTCCTAATCACAAATGTAGACATTTCAGAAGTTATAAAGTGAGAGATGGAACATTTGTACTGTTTATTTTCTTTGATCAGGTTACCTTCTCCACTACAAAAACTATTTATGCCTTTACTTACAGTTAGATTTGCCAGTGGTATACACTTAAAAGAAATTCTGTGGTCATTTGGTAGAATTAAACTTGAAGTGGATATTTGCACTTATAAAAGATAGATGTGGATTAGTTATAAACCTGGTAGGCACTATGCAAGCTTTCATGAACATCTCAGACTTCTCTAAGATTTTTGATATTTAGAATTCAGCCTCTCTTGGGCATAGGTACCATAAAACCATGTTAATCATTCTGTGATTAATATTCACAAGTCATAAATAGTACATACAAAACAAGACAAAAAAAAATCTTTGCATTTGGACTATTAAGATTGAATTCATAGCCATCATGCCTCAGATCAGAAGGTAGTTTTCTGTGGGAATCAGTGAAAAATTCCACTTTTGGTACCACATGGCATGCTAAGCAATGCAACTTCCTTTGCCGCAGCAAATATTTCATAGATTTCATAGATTTCATAGACATTAGGGCT